AGGGCGCGCGGGCCGGGCCACGGAACAGGGCCGGCGCCGCTGCCTCCCCCGCGGCCCCGCGCACTTAGCCGGGTCCCACCCGTGGCGCCGCGGAGCTGGCTTTAAGGTGGACGCCGAATGGGAGTTCGCCCGGGCCTCTTTAAGAGGCTCTGCGCTCCAGCCTTTAAATCTCCGCTCGGCTGGGCCAACTTCTGAGCCTACGGACGCCTCCCCAGTCCTCAGCGATCCCGGGCCGCCACCTTAACCGCGTTCCCTTCGAATCCCAGGACGCGTTTCTTCCTCGATTCTACCCCCGGCGTCGCTTCCCCCAGGCCCTCTTGGTACACCATTCCTGGGCCCAAAGTTCGTTCAGATGGATGCGACCGGGACAGGCGACAGTCGCGCTCCATTTCATTGTTTCGGTTCCGCTAACTCCTCTCCAATGGCGTCATTTTTTCCTTATTTTTTTAAATTGAGACATAATTCATATACCATAAAATTCCACCTTTTTAAGTGTACAATTCAGTGGTTTTTACTATATTCCCAAAGTTGTGTAACCATCACCGTTATCTAATTCCAGGACATTTTCATAACCCCACTCCCCCCAAAAAACCGTACCCATTTGCAATCACTCCCCGTTTCCCCCTCCCTCCAGCCCCTGGAAACCACTAATCTATTTTCTGTCTCTATGGATTTGCCTATTCCAGACATTTTGTATCAATGGACTCACACAACATGTGGTCTTTTGTGACCAGCTTCTTTCACTCAGCACGTGTTTCCAAGGTTCACCCATGCTGCAGCGCATAGCAGCACTGCATTTCTTTTCACAACCGAATACTATTCCATGGTATGTCTACCCCACGTTTTGTTTAACCATTCATCAGCTGATGGACAGTTAGGTTGCTCCTACTTTTTGGCTGTTATGAATCCAGCTGCTGTGAACATTGGTATACAAATCTTTGTATGAACATATGTTTTCCCATTTCTTTTGGGAAGATACCCAGGAGTAGAATTATGGGTCATATGCTATGTTTAATATTTTGAGGAACTCCCAGACTGTTTTCCAAAGGGGCTGCACTATTACATTCCCACCAACAACGTATGCCAGTTCCAATGTCTCCACATCCTCGCCAACACATGTTATTGTCTTTTTTGATTATAGCCATCCTAGTGGGGGTGAAGTGGTATCTCATAGTTTTGATTATCGGTGTCATTTTTGAGGATGTTCTTTTTGTGGGTGGACCTCGATGATGACTTGGAACCAGCTTTACAAGTCCAGGAAACCCAGCCCCTTATCATTTTCAGAGCTTCACCCTCCACCCCAGGCCTAAGGGGACCTTAGTGCCCTGAGTCCTTCATGCCATGCTGGGGCTCCCAATCTGATGCAGGTTTCAGCTGGCAACCCAGGTACCCATGCAGCCATTTGGTGAGAGCTACTGTGCCCCCTGGCATCCCCACTCCCATCTGCTGCTCTGAAGGCGCCATGGACCCCAAGAGTCCCCGTGGCAGGGGGAGTGGATTGGGCGCCATGACGAGTCTCTCACCTCAGTAGGGAGTAAAAGGACTGGTTGAGGAGGGGGCTCGAGGGACAGATGTTCGTCTTGACTGGCTGGGTCTTGCCCTGGAACCTGCCTGTTCCTCCCCCTTCCATTTACCACAGGCCTTGGGGGAGGTGGATGGGGGATCTGTGTGTCCTGGCTATCTGTCAGCCCCTCTGTCAAGTGACACCCTCTCCTGGGCCCTGACTGGCACAGTGGCCAGACTGTTGCCCTCAGTTGAGCTGAGACAACGTCTGCACAGGAGTCAAAGGTTAGTCTTGACGCCACTTTCACACACGCCCTTAATAATCTGTCTCCTCAGAAATGGAACTTCCTCCGAGCTAGTGATGACACGAGGTACCTGGGGTTCTCTTATGGGGAGATTAAACCCGGCACGTCATGGCTGGAGTCTCACAACAGGGCACTTGTCCCATTTCAGCTGCCTCCTCTGCTCTTTGTACCCTGAAATAAAGCATGGCTCAGTTGCTGGCAAATGAGGCTTTAGAGAACAGGGTCACTGAGAAGAAAAGTGAGGCCTGGGGTTGCTAGTTCATTCATTCATTCGGTCAGTCAACACTGCCGGAATACCTACTGTGTGCCAGGCACAGTGGCAGAGATCTACCTCAGAGAAAACTCAGAGTGCCAGCCAAGGGGTAAGCCATGTGGAAGAGGGAGCCACCAGGGCTGTGGGAGCCCAGAGGGGAGACGGCGTGGGCCTAGGACAGGCTTTCTGAGAGGTGATGATTGAATCAGGGCTTGAAGGACAAATAACCATTAGCTAGGCTGAGAAGGAGAGAGAAAACCTTAAACACTGAGGTATGATTGAGCTGAAGACTTTCCAAAAGTTCCAGCAATCCGCATGGCTGATCAGGTGTGTTTGGGGCATGGTGAAAGCCAGACTCCTGGCCAAAACCCCCAGCAGGGCTCAGGCCCACCTTTCAGGCCCTGAGGTCCACGGCCAGCTGCAGGACCAGGAGCTAGCTCCCGGAATAGGGCAAAGATCAGAGCTACTGGACTGACCCAGAGTAGAACTTTCTTGCTTGGTGGCACGAGCAAATGTGCCTCATCCTCTGCAATGTACCTGTGCTTATCTCTCTGCCCTGAGGCCAGGCCCCAGAGCAGACCTAAGCTGGTGCCTGGGGGTCCAGTGGGCAAACCTGGGGGCCAGGAAATTTCAGGGCCAGGAGCCAGCTGGGTGATTGTGGCAAACCTTTCCTCCAGAACTCTCTGCCCCAGTGTGGTCCCTGGGGGTAAAAGCAGCTCTGAGCTCCTGAGCATTCACAGTCTGCCAGACGTGGGCATAGGGATGAGTCTGCACACCTCCCAACAACCTGTGCAGAAGGTTGCACCTGCCCTATTTTAGACATAAGGAGACCACAAGCCCAGTCCCACTGGCCAGTAGACTGAATCACAGTCTCCTCTGACCACAGGGCCTGTACCCTTTCCCCTCTCTCTGTTGGCCTCGACAGCAGGTCAGTTGTGTGTGTGTTGGGTGTTGGGAAAGCAGGGAGAAGGTGACGAGGACACCACCACTCATTCCAGTCACAGTCTCTTCAGGCCCGCGGCTGGAAGTAGATCTTTTGCTGACCCTGAAGCACCAGCCATGGGTTAGCAGAGGAGCCTCACCCTACCCCCAGGCCCGTTCCTCCCCTCAGCTGACCCTTCTTCTGTGCCAACTACAGGGCCTTTCTTCCCCTGGGCTGCCCACGATGTGGCGCCAAGAACTACACAGTCTTCTCTCAGCGTTTTCATGGCCGTTACCAATCCAGGTTCAGTCATTTCCCATCTTTAGCTCTCCCTGCACCCCCCACCCCACCTGTCCTAGCCCCATTAGGAGCTAGGTCCCATGAGATGCTTATGGTTCATCCCTCACGTGGGCTCCCTCTTGCTCTCTGGGGCCGGAAGAGCAGCTTTAGATCAATCTACTTCCCATTCGTGGCCAACTTCTCCAAAAAGTGGTCCATTCTCCACTAATACATTTGTTTCTGACCATTTGTTTTTCTCCTCCTTGGTTTTTCCTCGCTTTAAACTAAAGTCTAGTGACTTAAACATTTTGAGTTGCAACCCATAGGAACAAATAGGTTTAACATTACAAACCAGAACACACAAATACATAGACAAGTGAAACAAAAATTTCCTGACATAGTACTTATCTTTACTATGTGTGATGCACTCTGATCTATTCTATTCTATTCTGTTTCATTAAAAAATTCTAGCAAGACCCACTAAATTGATTTCATGCCCCACTAATGGGTTGTGACCTACGGTTTGAAAAACATTGAACCATATTTTGACACCCAGAGCCTCAAGATAGTGACATTACAGCAGAAATTTGTCAAGAAAGAAAAGTCAATTCTAAGATTTTGAAACACATGCTAGAGATAATAGTTTGAAAAGAAAAGAGTTTTGAGTTTCAAAAGCCTAGGAGATTTCCGCTTCTAGGCAGGATTGTAGTAGGTTGTGGCAGGCCAGTGCTCCTACTGCAACAAAATGAGATGAGGCTCCCCAGCTGTTCCCTCTCCCCTTCCCCAGGACATGGCCAATTTGGGGCACTGGATAATGATCAGGCTTTGCCCAGAAGGAAGACCTCTAATGGAGGAAAGAGAAAGCAGCAAAGCTTTTAGTGGCCACATGGTAGTAGAATGACAAACTGGAACATAGGGGGCCTTAAAAACACAATCAATTTTCTCCACATGACATTTGCTAAGTTCTGGGCCTGATAATGCATCTAAAAAGCAGAGTAAAATCTTCCACAGTCCCACAGTGCTTAGAAAACAGAGGGTCCCCAAGAAGAAAGGGCCTGCTTCAGACACAAGGCCAGCTCCTGCCTCATGACATTTGCCAGAGTTTGAATCTCCATGGGGACAGAGGC